GCTACAGTATTTACTGTACATAGAATAATGAAAGTTCTCTCATCTGAAGTACTGCTACTATGTACTGTAATTATATAATACACAAAAGTGTATTGTGTAAGTAGTATTGAAACCCTGTAGATGAGCTGTAGTAGTGCTGGGCGGTATGACCAAAAATTTATATCACGGTATTTTTAAAAATTCAGCACTGGCGAAATCTTCCAACTGAATCATAGCTAAGTTTTATCCAAAAAAGTCGCTAGGTTTGTCAGTATGAATATTCTATGGGAAAAAGCCGCTAAAAGGGCGGTGGATATTTGTGGCGGTCAGTGTGGATATTGTGGATGAGTTCTTCTGTGTCATCATGTTCTATTAGTTCTACAGCTTCAGTTTCGGAACTTTCACACTTAGTAACACATACAGCTGTTCCCTCACCGCAATGCAACAGTGAAAAGGGACCCCTTTCAAACAGTGTCGCGTTCCGAATGTTGTTTAAGCGACATACGCGGTATTGCGGTATTTTAAAAATTCATTTCATAACAAAAATAAACACCGGTATTCGGTATGAACCGGTATACCGCCCAGCACTAAGCTGTAGGCCAGCTTCCCTCATGCTCAGTCCATGCAGAAGATCATGCTCAACTATAGTGCTTTGTATTTCATCAGGAACAAATTACCTTTGACCTCATCCCCTTCGTTTTTATTTTCCCCTCCTATTCCTCTTTGTCTCCCACTACCAGGATTAATTTTCTAAAACTCATAATCACTTGTGCTCTTGTTCATATCATCCTGAGATTCTGACCTGTGTGTCATCAGTTTTGCTACTGAATGTTCACACATGGATAAATGTGTGCTGTTTGAGTTCATTTTTTGATGCTTGAGTTAATTATATTGTGTGTTTGTGTTTTCTGAATGAGAACATGGTTAAACCTGTGCAAAATGGTGTTTTTGTGTAGAGTAACACTGCGGAAAACACTGAGCAAATTGGAACGAGTGTGCAAACAGGTGAAATGTGTTAAAAGTTTTGAGAAACGTGTCTTTGTTTCGAGAACTGTATTAATGGTTTGGAAAATTGGGCCAAATGAATCAGTTATAGTGTGTTAGCAATCGAGAAAAACTGTAATAACCTAGCTCTGAACATATACAACAAAACTCATTTTTATGGGTTAAATCAGGTAGAAATATACTTATGCAATCATTAAGTAAAGAGAATTTTTATGTGGAATCAGAAGCAGAATTGCAATCCCTATACAGGCAGTTCTTTTGATATGAATATATAGAATATGTGTGTGTGTGTATACCTACTTAACCATATTTTGGAGACACATTTGTACCCAAAAGTGAGCTAAACCTGACAAAATCTCCAAAAACCCCCCTTTGGGGACGTCCTAATTTGGAAAACTGGTATAAAAATAAAGTAAACAAAGTTTTTTTTTAATTGTAAAAATGCAGAAAGTCTCCTGTAAGGGGTAGGTTTAGGTGTAGGGTTGGTGTAGGGCAACAGAATATACGGTCTGTACAGTAGAAAAACCATTACGCCTATGGAATGTCCCCATTTAGATAGCTAAGTAAACGTGTGTGTTTGTTTGTGTGTGTGTGTGTGTGTGTTTGCACGTATTGGAGAATGAAGCCACAGAGGAAGCGTGGCAGATGGTGAAGGGGAGGATAAAGCACAGATTACCGTCAGGACAAAAGTCAAGTCACACTCACTCTCATGGCAGATGTCAGCGTGATTCACACTTTGCTGTCAACTAGCATGTGTCTCATGTGTGTGTGTGTGTGGACTGTTGTTGTGATTTGTTTTAAAGGAGGAAATGGAATGTGTGAAATGTGTATTCAGTGTTAATAACAAAGGGATCTCCAGCATCACAATCAATTTTCTGCTTCAATCGGTCCAACTCCTCAGTGCTGGGTCATGTGGCTGGATGCCAGGATGTGGCTATGCGGTTGCTAAGGTGTTCTGACTGTTTTTAGCATGTTGCTTTTTAGGTTGCCAGTGTTTTCTGGGTGGTTGCTAGGTGACTGCTTACTCAGGGCAAAAGTCAGTGTTTTCTGTTTGAAAGTTTCTGGATTCTGTTTAAATGGTTTGATTAGATTTGTAATAATCAAAAAGGATGTCTAAACAATTGAATTAATAAAAGTTTAACAATTTAATAATTCATTACATTTTTAACCACACACTGTTAAACAAACCCAGCTGTTT